CGTGACGGGGGCAAATTTAATCAGCAGTCGGCAAAGACGCTTGGAGGGAGAAAGCTTGAAACCGCGAGGCATGGCGGGAGTGTTGCGGTCAAGTAATATTGTGAACACGCTGTGAACAAATCAAGCGCCGGCAGCGGCAACGTCGGAATATAATCAAGTCCCACGTCAGGAACGAATATATTATAGCGTCTTCCTTAGCTACAAGGACTTAACATGAGCGATAAAGCGGTATGGTAACGAAACAATGGTAATCAGGGATTGAGAAAGTTCCTACCTTTAAAAAAATCTAAAGAAAAAAATACTCCCAAAAATAAACACGAACAATAAAGTTGATAGTCATCACCTGCATTAATTCTCAGGAAAGAAAGGAGAAATCTTTTACTCAATGAACGGAAGTTGACAATAAGATATAGGCAGAAACATGATGGCGGGATATTGGATAAATGACATCAGGCTACAGAGCATACGAAAATTCATTTACAATAATAAAATGCTACAGATCGACACGGAAGAAGAGTGATTGTGAGTCGTTCCTTCTTCGGAATGAGAGATCATAGGTGCAAGTTTTGGCTGTGATGAGGATATCACAGGAAAGACTCGCAACTAGGACGTTTTTGTAAAGCTGAAGAGCAGACCGCGAAGCAGATAGCTCGATTGTATAAGAGGTTGGCTCCAGTAGATCCATACTGCTTACCAGACTGATGGAGCATCGGGACCACTGAGAAAACCTTCTTGACGAAGGCAAACCGAAACGATTACGGCGCACTAAAGGTGAAAGGATGAATGAGTGAAAAGGTAATCAGCGCATTTCCGCTTTTGCAAGGCAGTAGGTTTCTTCTTGAACAAAAAAACGACATCATAACCAAAGAACGGTTTAAACTGCGATGTTGCTTATGGTACTGCGGTAACTTAATCTGATATACTTGCATGGGCGGACCTCACTACCCACATGCACTGCAAAAGCTGATTATAAACAAGTGTCAGCGTAACTACTTTAGGGAGATTATCGACTTTCGTTCACAGAACCACATCACCTTTTGTGAACTATGCAGTCCCCACCAGAAACGAATACCACACACGCCACGTCCACTTGCATGTCACGTAACGTCTACAGGACAGTGGCCTGAAAAAACCTGGTTCTTTTCACATGCAAACCATCGCACGCCGTGCGGAACTATTCATGAACGGTGCCAATCAATTTTATGAAAAACGGCTACTAGCAGTCAATCGATCGATCAACAGCGCGCATTCGGCGTACACCGCGAAAGCGACTATCATTGTCGGGAGGTGACAATTCGGTCAGCTCTCCTCTATTCTCATTCTCAAGGCCGCCAGCATCGCTCGCCATTCCATCGAACGAACGAGAAGTCGAAGTCGGTTGGCTGAAGCGGAGGGGAGGGGGTGCATGCGGCCAACCGGGGGCTAAGGAGGGGGAACACGAGCGGTGGTGACAGTCGCAAAAATTCATGCGGCGGCGCTGGCTCCATCGTGCAATGAAAAACAGCGCGCTTAATCACGTGACCAACGCAGCGTTCGAAGATAAACGAAAAATCGTCTTCGCGATACACGCGCGCGTGCGTGTTTGCGTGAAAAAGCAGGCGCACACCGTCGACTGCCATCGTCGTCACTCGGCGGTGGCGAGTCGCCTTGAGATCGGGGGTCGGATGGCGCCGATAGCCCCTAGGCGAAAGCTAAATGGCGTCGATATTTGTACGGCTTGCGCAAATTCGCTGATGATTAATGCCACACCCGGATGCGAGACCCGGAATTCATCCGAAACCAAGGACCGCACACAGAAAATGCACGCACCAGCCAACAGCAAAAATGTACCAAGCCAAGAAGTCACCTAGTCGCATCCAAACAAAAGGTATCAGTAAAAAGGGGACGTCATCGATGGATGACGAAGATGCTTGGATCGGTTTGACGCGTAGCAGATCCATCGGTAGTT